GGCCTCCCAGAGGCGGCAGATATGTCTAACTGTGCCTTTTTGTGCTTCTTGGGATATAGGGTACTGACAAACCCGGATGGGGCTTGCCTGACTTTTTAGTTGCACCACCACTGGGGGGCGGTGACTTGCCAGCCCCGGTGGGTTAGTTTCAGCCCAGACACCGGGGAGCTCATGCCGTAGTTGGGTTAGGAACTCTGAGTCCGGCTTAGGTGACGGAGGTGGCTTACCTTCTGCCAACAGATACTCGTCTCGGAGAGGCACTGTTATGAAGATCTTGGTTGGTTCTTTTAAATCTACTACTGCTGTAGTTTCCTGAAGCCCTATATTCACTTTGAGTTGATGCAGAAGGTCTCGCCCCAAGAGTGGGTATGGGCAGTCAGGTATTACCAGGAATGAATGAGTTATCTCTCCTTTTCCTAGATTCACAGTTCTTTCAGTGGTCCAGGGGTATAGTTGAGTCCCAGTTGCGCCCTGTACCAGAGTATACTTATTTTGGAGAGGACCATTATATTTCTTGAGAATGGAATGCTCTGCCCCCATGTCCACCAAGAAGTGGACAGGGTTACCCCCTACCATAAGTTCGGCCCTGGGCTCTAGGGGGGTATTAATAGATCCCTGGCCCGGTCAGTCAGATCCTAACTGGATCACTGGAGTTGGTTGCTGTGGCTCTGAGGTAGGGGGGCATTTTCTTGGCCTGTCTGGGCAGTCCTTTTTCCAGTGTCCCCTTTTCTTGCAAGAGGCACACTGGTCCTTGCCTAAGGGGATTTTTTCTTCCTGTACCCTTTCCTCTGCATTCCCCTGTCCGCTGTGTCGGCCAAGTCCCTTCCAAAGCTGCAACCATTACTTTAGCTAGTTTTTTAGCCTGTCTATCCTCAGAAGAATCTCTGCTATTATAAATCTTTTGGGTTACCTTGGTTAATTCTGACAAACTTTTTCCTTCAACCCTTCAATTTTCTGCAGCTTCTTTCTGCTATCAGGGGCCAACTGGAAGACAAAGGCTATCACCAATGCCCTCTGATTTTCTGGGGCTTCTGGGTCTATCAGAGTATATGTCCAATAAGCCTCCATGAGGCCCTCCAGAAAAGTGGTGGGAGATTCCTGTGGTCCCTGAGTAACCTCGCTTACCTTAGACAGATTTGTAGGGTGCCTTGTGGCAGCCCGGAAACCCCCCATTAGAGTCTGGCAGTAGGTGGTGAGACACTCCCTACCGTGATCCATGTTGGGGTCCCAGTCCAGCCTGTCAGAAGGGAAGATACGCTCCAGACGTCCATGCTCAGCCAGTTGGCTGTCAGGTCCCAGGATTATCTTTCTTGCTTCCTGCCGAATTCGCTCCCTCTCTTCCGCAGTGAAGAGTACCTGGAGAAGCTGCTGGCAGTCATCCCATGTAGGCTGGTGCGTATAGAAAATAGTTTCTAAGAGAGAAATAAGGCTTTGGGGTCTTTCAGCGAACGGCGGGTTTTGTTGCTTCCAATTGTACAAATCACCAGTAGAAAAAGGGACATAGACCATGAAAGACTGGGCTCCCGTCCCCTCCACATTCACCCCCTAGGCTTGCCACAGTGGGAGGATGACTGGAGTTTCCCCCGAGGTCCCAGAGGTTGAGTCTGGACTTGTTGGCTGGTGGGGGGCTGTTGGGCCCTCCACGGGAGGCAGAGGGAGAGTGGGGTAGAGGGGCTGGTAAGAGGAACCACTCCTAGTATGTGCTGGACTAAAGATTTCTCCTTCTCCCTGTCCCTGTCCCACCACAGGATATGGTGGTGGAGTCTCGTCATCCTCTGGTGGAGGCGAGAGGACTGGAGGCTTAGCTTCAGTAGTTTCCTATAAGGCTAAAACATGAAGAGGATTAGATTCAGCCTTCCTTATCCATGACAGCTACTATAGGACGAGGTAGTACCGAGCACTGATGTATGGGATCTGGTCCAGGTGGCGTCGGTAGATGATCTATTGAACTTTCTCTATTGCTGAGGAGTTAAAAGTTCCTTCTGATGGCCAATTACCGTTTGCAAGACTTGGCCATTCAGAACAGAGAGTAGTTAGCTTATTCCTAAATACCTGGTCTCCTGTTTGCTGTGCAGCATTTTGGAAATCTTTAAAATGATGCAAGAGCAGTTCTAGGGGGGTGTTTGACCGAGAGCCTGACTGTCCCATGACATCAACAACAATAAGAGCAATAGAAGACACGACAGTTACGAACACAAAGCACAACGAGACAAAGACAAGGACTGGCCTGATTGCCCAAGGGCAGACCCAAAACAGGGGACCCTGGTGATGTCTCACCAGGACCCTGGACTCAGGAAGTAATGCTGCGTCCAGCTTTCCTGGAAGTCCAAACAGATGTGCGCACATACAGAACAGGAACCTGGCTTACCTCTCTGAGGACTCCAGAGGCATTGTGAGTCTGCCAGGGATGGCAAACACTGAGCCTGCCCAGTAGTTGGCCACCTGAGAGTCCGTTCCAGGCCCATCCGACAGTCAACTGCTTCAGTGCTAATGAACATCACGAGTCTACAGGCTAGCAGGCTCACAAGGCCAGTCAGTGTAAAGCACCGTGTCTAGCTCGATTCCTGGCCAACTCACCAAATGATGTGGGGTCCGAGCATTTGATTCATGGCACCAACACACAATTTACCAAGAGAGAGGTTTATTAGCCAGGTTTGACTGGCCAGGGCCACCCACCAGACCAGCAGGTCTCTAGGCGAGGGCCCCACACTGCAGCAGGGGTCTTTTTAAAATAGGCAAAAGCCTAATCCACAAGGCCGTTATAATTCAAATTCGAACAACACAAAGCTCGCCAGAAGAGGCGCTTGTCTGCCACAATTCAAACAGAGAAAAGTCCACCAGAATTTGAAAGGGGCTCATCGCACAACACTTACACACAGCCAGTGGGGGTTACAGAAGCAGAAAAAGCTGGTTAACTTATCTAACATAGCCACTTGGGGCTTCTAAGTAAGGCATTCTTTCCAAGGTTTCCAAGAATTACTAAGTTTTAGGGGAGAGGTCACAGCACAGTTTCAGCATACTTAATATATGAGGTTATAGTTTTGTTACATTTCACATAATTCATCACACTTAATATATAAAGCTTCACACAAGTTCCACACAATTCATCACCTCTTACAGTGGAAGATGCCAGGCCCTCTTAGGACTCAAGCTGTACCTGGCAGCCACCACTTCCAGTGTGTCCCTTGGTTAAAGCAAGTCACAGGTCCAGCTCAGAAGGGCTTGTGGGGGCCACCAACAAAGTGGCTTACCACACAGGTTCCTGCTCACTCACTCTTCCTCCAACCTGCCCTACACACACACCTCTGCCTCTGAGCCTTTGTGCTTACTGTTCCCTTCTGCCTGGGGAGCTTTCCCCCTAACATTCATGGGTCTCACACCTCCCCTTCATTTCAGCCTCAACTAAATGTTACCTTAACAGAGAAGCCATACCTGACCCCACCTTATCAAAAACAGTGCACCCTGTGCCCCTTGCCCCATTCTGTTCTTGTTTTTTTTTCATTGCATTTATCACCTCCTGGCATAATATTTATTGTCTAGTCTCCTTCTCCCCCACCTCAGAATATAAGTGCCATGTGAGTAGGGAGTTTGCTTTGTTCACTGCAGATACGACACATGGTAGATATGGTTGTTGAGTGAATGAGTATTCCATATGAGGAAGCTGAAGCTCAGAGAGGTTAGGTAACTTTCCCAAAGGCACACAGCTAATAAATAACAGAGTGGGAATCCAATCTCAAGCAATTTAGCATCTGACATGAAGCTATGTAAGCTGTACTGCATTTAGGGGTAGTTGCCTAGGCAGTAACTGGCCTGGCTCAGAGGCTCATGCCTGTCATTCCAGCACTTTGGGAGGCCGAGGAGGGAGGACTGCTTGAGCCCAGGGGTTCAAGACAGACCTGGGCAACATAGGGAGACTTGTCTCTACCCCCACCCCAAAAGCCAGGTATGGTGTTGTGTGTCTGGAGTCCCAGATATTGGGAGGCTGAGATGGAAAGATCGCCCTCAGGAGATCAAGGCTGTGGTCTACTGCGCTCCACCCTAGGAGACAGTGAGACTGCGACTCAAAATAATAATAATGAATAATAGCTGCCTCCTCCCTCTTCTCCCTGAGTTCTGTGTGTCCACAACTAAAATCTGACCAGGCATAAAGCCAGCCTTGAATGTGGCTTTCCTTCCCTTCGGCAGAAAGCCCACCAGCCTTAGCCTGCTGCTCAGGCTAAGCAAAGCTTGGCTTCTGGCCGAGGCCCTGATGTAGAAAAAATGAGGGTTTTGGAGTCAGAGCAACTTGGCTCTGCTTTCAGCACCCCCAGCCACTGGCTCTCTGGACACCAGCAGATAGGAATGCCATTTGTTTTGAGTGTCCGTGGCCCACTGGTAAGCTGACTGAAGGCTGGTCTGGGATGGCTTTCGGGGCATGATTGTCCCATGTGCTCTCATCTTCCAGCAGGTCAGCTCGGGCTTGTTCTGGCTGGGCTCCAGAGAGAAGCAGAAGCCTGCCCAGCCTCCTGAGGCTGGCCCAACATCACTTCTCCTGTGTTCGGTCACTCCAAGCAGATTACAAGGCCAGCCCAGATCCCCCAAGTGCCTGTGAAGCCACAGTGTGGGACACAGAGCAAGTGCTGTGATTATGGGTTGTCTGTGTTGTTAGTGCCATGCATTTGCATAGCACTTCATGTCTTCCCAAGTTTTATTGCATACATTATTATTCTCTACACTGTGTAAGAATAATTGGAGCAAATATTACCAGCCCTGTTTGGCAAATGAAAAACAGAGCTTAGATAACTTGCCCAAGGCCACACTTTCAGCTAGTGGGTTTTGCCAATCGCTAGAAATCAAATATTAGTTAAAGCATGTGTGCACACACAGCTGCAGAAAGTGAACCCACGGGCAGATGGTCCCCTGGTCTTGAGCATCATCATGGTCAATAAGATCTGAATGCTGTTGCCACTGGCCCAGACTAGTGACTACCCGCAAGGTTTTGTTATGGCCTCCAAGCCCTGATGCTCCTGCCTGAGTTTTGTTGTTTGGCTCCCACGCTCGTGCCTGGGAACGACGGCTTTCTCCTCTTTTACCCAGAGAACCTTTCTCTGGACTCCAGCTGTTTCTCCTCTCCGCCTGTGAACTTCCTTCAAGAATTGCCAAGCTACCGGTCCACTGCACGCAGGAGGACCTCCGTCCCTTCCCGGGACAAGCAGAGTGGCACTTTGCTGAAGCCGACAGACTCCTACAGCTCCCAGGTGGAGGGCGAAATCACTGAAAACCTCAGCAGCCAGTCTATTCGAAAGTATGCACTGAACATCTCCGAGAAGCGGAGACTAAGGTTTGTTCAATACCCACCTGGGACCACATAATGTACATTATAGGCAGAGGTCTGTTTTATGGTTTTATGCATGGAATGCATTTCCTGAAGAGCTCACATAATTAAAATTTTATGCCTCTGTGACAAAGATACCCACATATGTAATAGCTCAACATACTAGAAGTTTATTCTCTTTCTTTTTGAGTTGAGATCTCACTCTGTCACCCAGGTTAGAGCGCAGTGGCACAGATCATGGCTCACCACAGCCTTGACCTCCCGGGCCCAGGCGATCCTTCCCTCTCAGCCGCCCAAGTAAGTGGGACTACAGGTGTATGCCACCATACCTGCTAATTTTTTGTTTTTGCATTTTTGTAGAGAAGAGGTTTGCTGTGTTGGCCCAGGCTGGTCTTGAACTTGCAAAAGTGCTGGGATTACAGGTGTGAGTTACTGTGCCAGGCCCTTATTTCCTTTTCAAAAAATGGCAGTGTCACAATCATATCTCACTGCAGCCCTGAATTCCTGGGCTCAAGCAATTCTTCTGCCTCAACTTCCTGAGTAACTGGGACTACAGGTGTGCACCTGCCTCATCACCTATAGAGACAAGGTCTCACTCTATTGTCCAGGCTGGTTTCGAACTCCTCAAACAATCCTCCAACCTCAGTCTCCCAAAGTTCTGGGATTATGTGTATGAGCCACCATGCCCTAGAATTTTATTTCTTACTCACATAAAGTACTAGGTCCAGGTTGTGGGGAACGTGGCGTCTATTCAGGGACCCAGGCTCCTTCCATCTTATGACTCTGGACACCCCCAAACTCTCATTTTTGTCTGTATCCAACCAGTGGAAAGGGAAAGAGTATGAAGTGTGAATACACCAGTTAGCTACACAGCAAAATAAACACTGCACAATTTAGTAGCCTACACCAATATTTCACAAGTCTAAAGTCAGCTGGACAGTTGCCAGGTTTCATTTGGGTTCACTGTGTATCTAGCCAGCTATGACTGGGCAGGTGATTCGGCTGATCCAGGCTGGCTGGGGGGCAGCTGGCTGTGGGCTGGTCTGGGGAGGCCGCAACTGGGATGATCACAGGGTGTCATCTTCCAGCAGGTGAGCTCAGGCTTGTTTATGTGACAGCAGCTGGGATTCAAGAGAGGAGCAGAAGCCTGAATGGCCTCCTGAGGCTGGGGGAACTGAAGCAGCATCACTTTCACTTCAGGTCGAAAGGCCATTCTAGACTCGGTGGGCAGGGCAAGAGGGTCTTCCCCCTAGTGCAACGGCGCATGCGCACAATGATAGGGGCACTGGGACCTTAGGAGCCAGATCTGAAACAGACATTATTGCTTCTGTTTACTACATTTCTGCTGGAGGGAATTTAGTCACATGGTCATACATAGCTGCCAGGAAGGCTGGGAAATGCCTCCAGCTAGTGCCAGAGAAGGGGAGGATGGATTTTGGAGATAGCTTCCTATCTCTTTTATTCTTGAAGAGTTTAAAGTATAATTTCTCACATAGGTCAGACATGGCAGAGGTGGGTGTTTCTGCTTAACTCAATAATTGGGCCCCTCAAAGGCAGTAGCAGAATCACAGTGGGTGATGCACCGTGCCTGGTGGCTTTGAAAACACATATTTTGGGTGATTTTATTTTATTTTACTTATCTTGAGTCAAGGTCTTACTCTGTCGCCCAGACTGGAGTGATGTGGCACAGTCATGGCTCACTGCAGCCTGTAGCTCCTGGAGTCATGCAGTCTTCCCTCCTCAGCCTCCTGAGTAGTGGGGACTATAGGTGTGTGCCACCATACCTGGCTGATTTTTCTGATTTTTTCTGATTTTTCTGGTCTTGAACTCCTGGGCTCAAGTAATCCTCCTGCCTCGGCCTCTCAAAGTGCTGAGACTATAGACAAGAACCACCATGCCCAGCTCTTTGATGATTTTAGTTTTTAATTTGGGGGGCCTTGTATTCTCAAAAAATATATGAATAAAGTAATATTTTATGAATGCATTTATTTTTTGTTTTTGAAAAAGAATTGGTTGAGAGGACAGAAAAGCTCCCTGAGTGGGAGAAGACCCTAGGGCGTTACCCTTTGAATGTATTTTATTTCCCATTCTTTTAGATTCACAGTCTGAATTCTTACAGAATACTGCTGATCTATACCAAACTTTGCCACAACCAAGAGGAAGATATAATTTCTTCCATCAAGGGGCTTTCAAGCTTTCTGGAAAGATGGAACTAATGGACTCAGGAGAGCAGCAGCCATGTCTATCTGGTTTACCAATACATTTCTAGAAGTTGGCAAAGAAAAGGACAAAAGAATTATGATACTAATGGATAATAGTTATTGAGCAGTTATATCCAACCAAGTGTTAGTTCAAGCTATTTCCCTTAATCCCACGTTACTTTCTGAGGCAGGGTTTTGTTTGTTTTTGAGTTGAGTTCTCACTCTGTCGCCCAGGCTAAAGTGCAGTGGCATTATCACAGCTCACTGCAGCCTTCACCTCCTGGGCTCGGGTGATCCTTCCACCTCAGCCTCCTGACTAGTTGAGACTACAGATGCACATCACCACACCTGGCTTAATTTTTTTATTTTTATAAAATAAAGAGGTCTCACTTTGTTGCCCAGGCTGACCTTGAACTCCTGGGCTCAAGCAGTTCTCCCATCTTGGCCTTCCAATGTGCTGGGATTCCAGACGTTAGTCACCTCACCTGGCTGGTTTTTAACCTTAGCACTATTTTAACTTAACATTTGGGACTGGATAGTTCTCTGTTGTGGAGGACTGTCTGTGCATTGAAGGATATTTAGTGGTATCTCTGACTAGATGCTGGGGGCACATCCCCCTTGCTCCAGTTGTGACAGCCTAGAATGTCCCCAGACATTGCCTGATGTTCCCGGGGGGGGGGGGTGTTGGCAAATTTGACACTAGTGGAGAAAAGTGGGTACTTTCTTAATCCAAATTTACAGAAAAGGAAGCAGGCATGGCACAAAGAGGCTTGTTTGAATGGAAGGTTCAAGGCCCTTCCCTTGACAGAGGCTTCATGTCTAATGGGAAAGGACAGCCTGGAGGAGGGTGATGGCTTGGGCCACGTGCAATGCGTGGCCAGCAAATTCCTCATGTTTCCTCTCTCACCTTCAGGCTCCAGTACCTTCTCTTTCCCCCACTTTCCTCACTCCCTAGGGAGCATCAGGCCTGGACTTGGGGCATCTCCTCCAGGTTTCCAGAGCTCTGACCAAATCCCCTTCTATAGCACTTCTCCCAGAGAGCTATAGTTGTTGGATGTCCACCACCCCTCTAGACTCAGGGTTGGCAAGCTTTTTCTTGAGACTTTGTGGGCTACACAGTCTCTGTGGCAGCTGCTCATCCTGCTGTTATAGTGTGAAAGCAGCCAGAGACAATTCATAAAAGAATGGGCATGGCTGTGTTCCAATAACACTTTTTTATGGCCCAGTGCAGTGGCTCATGCCTGTAATCCCAGTGCTTTGGGAAGCTGAGGCAGGAGGATTACTTGAGCCCAGGAGTTCGAAACCAGCATAGGCAACATAGCGAGACCTCATCTCTTTTTTTTTTTTTTTGAATTAGAGTCTCACTCCATCGCCCATGCTGGAGTGCAGTGGCACGTTCACGGCTACCCCACCATCAACCTGCTGGGCTCAGGCGATCCTTCCACTTCAGCCTTCCAAGTAGTCGGAACTGCAGGCATGTGCTACCACACCCGGCTAATTTTTTATTTATTGTAGAGATGAAGTCTCGCCAAGTTGCCCAGGCTGGTCTCAAACTCCTGGGCTCAGGCAATCCTCTCACCTCGGCCTCCCAAAATGCTGGGATTACAGGCTTGAACCTCTGCGCCCAGCCGACCCCATCTCATAAAAACAAATTAGAAAAATTAGCCAGGTATGGCAGCATGCACCTGTAATCCCAGCTACTTGGCAGGCTGAAGCAGAAGGGACACCTGAGCCTAGGAGGTTGAAGCTTCAGTGAGGCTTGATTGTGCCACTGTACTCCAGCCTGGGCATAGAGTGAGACCTTGACTCCAAACACAAACAAAAACAAACGCATACATGCTTATTTATGGACACTAAGGTTTGAATTTCGTATCATTTTTATGTGTCACAAAATAGTCTTCTTTTGACTTAGTTTCCCACCATTTAAAAATGCAAAAGCCACCGGGCTCGGTGGCTCAGCCTGTAATCCTGCGCTTTGGGAGGGTGAGGTGAGTGGATTGCCTGAGCCCGCGGGTTCGAGACCCGCCTGGGCAACTTGGTGAGACCTCATCTCTACAATAAATCAAAAAAAAATTAGCTGGGTGTGGTAGGTAGCACACGCCTGTAGTTTCAGCTACTTGGAAGGCTGAGGCGGAAGGATTGCCAGAGCCCAGCAGGTCGAGGCTGCGGTGGCAGGGAGCGGCCACTGCACTCCAGTCTGAGTGACAGAGTGAGACTCCAACTCAAAAAAATAAAAATAAAAATGCAAAAGCCAGTCATAGCTTGCAGGCTGGTCTTGCCTGTGGGTCATAGTTTGTCATCCCTTATCCTAGACCATGAGTCCCTCTCTGGCTGAAACTCCAGCATTCTGTATTCCTGGAGGCCAGTGGGGCTTTTGATAATGTCTGGAGACGTACCTAGTTGTCACAACTGAAGGAAATACTACTAGCTTCTAGTGGGTGGAGTTCAGCAATGTTGGCAAACACCCTAGAGTGCACAGGACGGCCCCACAGCAAAGGGTGCAAGATTGAAAAGCCTGTGTAGACCTGCCCAGTGCCTAGCCTGTAAATATGTGCTCAGCAACTTAGAAGGGAAGGAAGGAGGTGGAGGCGGATGTGTGAGTGGCCCTAATGGCAGCAGGAAGGAGGAAGAATATGTAGTTGCTCACTGAGTAAAAAGGGACTGGTGCCAAGACTCAAATGCAGGGTCAGGAAACGTGTGGGATCGGGCTTGGGAAAAGGACACAGGGCCTGGAAGCCAGGGCCTGACTGAAAGAGTCTTGGAATTCCAGCCTAAAGGATGTGCTTTCTATTCTATAAGTAATGAGTCATAAAAATTAAAAAATTAAAATGTCTGTCTATCTACTATCATCTATCAATCATTTTTATATCATCTATCTATCTAATCTATCTACTATCATCTTTGTATCATTTATCATCTTTATATCATTTAGCTATCATCTAACTATATATCATCGATATATCATCTGTCATTATCATCTATCATTTGTTATTTATCTATCATCTATATATCAGCTATTTATCATCTATCATCTATATATATCATCATATATCTATCATCTATATATCATCTATCATCTATCAATCTATCTATATGTCATCTGTCATCTATATGTCATCTATCATCTATCATCATCTATCTATATATATCATCTGTCATCTATATGCTATCTATCTATTACCCATCTATCAGTCTGTCATCTATATGTCTTCTATCATCTATATGTCTAACATCTATACATAATCTATCGTCTGTCTGTCACCTAGCCATCCATCTAAATGTAATCCATGCTCATGGGAAAGCAGCTTGTACAATACAGGAGCAGTAACTATTTTTAATCAGAGGACTATGTGTTTGTTATTTGATGGATACTTATTGAGAACTGACTAGGTGCCAGGTGCCATGCTGGCACACAGGATGGAGAGGTGAGCAGAGCACACATGGCCAAGACTGTCATGTAGTTTACTGCCTGAGTACCAGGCACAGGAGACCACAACAATAAAGGTTATATTCTTGGCCTTTCAAGAGCTTGTGGTGTATTGGAGGCAGATGTTAATCAAGTGACTGCCCAATTGATGAGGGGAAGGGATAAAAGAGAGGTGTTCTGGGAGCTACAAAAGGGAACGAGGTGTGGGGCTGGGGAAGAGGCCAGGTATGCTCTGTAGAGTTATTTTACTGGGTGCAGGTATCTGTCATATGGGTGTGCCAATGGCTTTATTGAGCCTTTGAAGGCCTCAGTTGGGCTTTTTTAAAAAATTGGGGTCACACTCTGTCACTCAGGCTGGAGTGTAGTCAAATTTGATCTCGTGGGCTCAGGTGATCGATCCACCTCAGGCTCCTGAGGTAGCTCGGAGTAGAGGTATGTGTGTGCCACCACACCTGGCTAATTTAAAAAATATTTTGTAGATACAAGGTTTGCTATGTTGCCCAGGCTGGTCTTGAACTCCTGGTCTCAAGCAATCTGCCTGCCTTGAGCTACCACACCTAGTGGCTTTTTGAAAAAAACTTTTGTAATTGTAATAAAATATACATAATAAAAATGTACCATTTTAATCATTTGAAAGTGTGCAGTTCAGTGACACTAAGTACTGACTGTGTTGAATAACTCTTACCACTGTCCAGCTCCAGAAATGTTATATCACCTAAAATGGAAACTATCCATTAAACAGCCATTTCCTGGGGTTGGCCAATGGAAAGTAAAGAAAGAGAGAGAGAGAGGGAGGGAGGGAGAGAGAGAGAAAGAGAGAGAGAAAGAAAGAAAGAGAGAAAGAGAGAGAGAGAAAGAGAGAGAGAAAGAAAGAAAGAAAGAAAGAAAGAAAGAAAGAAAGAAAGAAAGAAAGAAAGAAAAGAGAAGAGAAGAGAAGAGAAGAGAAAAGAAAAGAAAGAATAGCTGCTCTCTGTTTCCACCTCCCTTCCTTCCTTGGCAACCACTAACCTACTGTCTGTCTCCATATATTTGCCTGTTCCAGACATTTCACATAAGAGATGTCATACTATGTGTGACCTTTGTATCTGGCTTCTTTCACTTGGTTTGTCCTTATTGTAGCAAGAATAAAAAGCTCATTCCTTTTAAGGCTGAATATCCCAATGTGTGGCTAGACCACTTTTTTTTTGAGTTGGAGTCTCACTCTGCCACCCAGGCTGGTGTGCCCAGTGGCACACTCACGGCCACGCCAGCGTCGACCTCCTGGGATACGGTGATCCTTCTGCCTCAGCCTTCCAAGTAGCCCAAACTACCATGCCCGGCTAATTTTTTGATTTATTGTAGAGACAAAGTCTCACCATGTTGCCCAGGCTGGTCTTGAACCCGTGGACTCAGGCAATCCTCTCACCTCGGCCTCCCAAAGTGCTGGGATTATAGGCTTGAATCATCGTGCCTGGTCGACCACATTTTAAAAAATTCCCTCATTTACCAATGGACATTTCCATCTTTTGCCTATTGAGAATAGTGCTGCTACAAACATTGGTGACAAGTGTTTGTTTGAGGGCCTTGCTTTCAGTTCTTTTGCAGATGTTCCTAGATATGGAGTTTGCAGGGTCACTTGGCAATTCTGTGTTTAATGTTTTGAGGAACCACCAGGATGTTTTCCACAGTGGCTATACCGTTTTATATTCTCAGCAGTCATATGGAAGGGCTAGAGTGTCTTCCAGCCCTCTCAGCCGGGGTGTTATTGGATGCTGAGTCTTGATGCTGCTGCTGTTGACCTTGTCATGATCATATTTTTAAATGCAGGGACATTCAGGAGGCCCAAATGAAATACCTATCAGAGTGGGACCAGTGGAAGCGATATAGCAGCAAGTCTTGGAAGAGGTTCCTGGAGAAGGCTCGGGAGATGACAACTCACCTGGAACTGTGGCAGGAGGACATCCGCAATATAGAAGGTGCCACGCCCCCCATAAGCTGTCTGTGCGGGGGTTGGGGGGGTAATGCTTTGTTTTCACAGTTCTCACTAAAATTTCTGTTTCTTAAGCCACTCAACCTATGGTATTTTGTTGTGGTCTGAGCAGACTAATACAATACTACTATACACCAGATTCTCACCATTATGGGAAAGTAGGAATTCTTAGTATTTCAGGAAACCCTCTGGTAGTCTGGTGAAGCATTTCCTTCCATGATGAATATAAACCTCAAACCACCATTAACCTGGTGAAATCTGTGTCTTTGTCACCAGGAAAAAAATCACAGATATTTTTCTGTCCCTTCCAGGTGTCATATTTATTTAGAAATATCACTCATGTGCATCTCTGCTTTGACATTTCATGATTAGACCTGTTATTCTTTTTTTTGATCAGTCACATTGGTTTTCTTTATTATTATTTCTATTATAAAGACGTGGGGTACAATTCAGGGTTAGGTATACAAACATTGATTATGCAGGTACCCTTGTTGATGAGGTGTGCCCCTTCCTCCCCTAGCAATTTCCCTCAACTGCCAATCCCAACCCCCCTCCCCTGACAGTTTCCCCTTTCTGCCAAATGCTTTCTTACAGTATTATAATTGTTCAAGGTCTGCTTATGAGTGAGAACATATGGTACTCTGTTCTTT